GATGAACTCATTTTGAGGAGGATCCAGGGAGGAAATGTGGAGTTCTTGCAAGGAATTCTGTGAATGAGGCTTGTAGCATGAGAAGAATATTTTCATTGAGCTGTGTCTGATTCTGTGCCTACTTCTTAACAAAAGACAGACTGGTACCCAGTGTCCTGCAGTCTATTTCACTTGGATTGTTCATTTTGTAGAGATAAAACAGATGGGCGTTGAGAATTTGAGAATAAATAAGCGTTGTTTTGGAGGAGCTTCATCCTGGGGAGACAAAATGGCCGCAAAGCTGAATGCTAATTTCTTGGATATTTCCAGTGCCTATTACCCTGATCCTAAAATGGTGAGATTGATTGTGAACTCCAAAGACATAGTACATGTTTTCTTTGGAGTTTTGTGAATATTGTCTTAGTCTGTTTTCTGTTACCATACCAGAATACCTGAGATTCTGTAATTTACAAAGTAAACATAGTCACCATATTTTGGCTCATAGTTTTGGAAGTCCAAGAACACAGTATCAGTACCAGTGTGGCTTCTGGTGAGGGCTCAGGCTGCTCCTGGATGGTGAAGAGGAAGTTCATGTTAGTGCGTGGACTGGGCTTTTGTAAAGTGATGATGACTGCTTATGAGGGCTCCAGTACCTCCAGCAGTCCCCATACTCCCCCAGCAATGACAACAGCTGAGTTCATAGCAGGAAGCCAGTGTGACAGGCGTCTCCTGGAGACTGAACAGCACACTCCTTCCCCTTCAGAGCCAGGAAGCAATCCTCAGAGCAAGGATCAGAGCTCCCCCAAAGCAAACCCCAGACATTTTCAGCGACAAGGTCCCAGGCTCCTCTAATAACAGCCACGTTCATATTAGGGAGCCAGCATGGCAAGCTTCTCCACGAGAACCAACGGCAAAACCACCACCATTTAGGAGAGCCCACAGTGCTGCTCCTCCTCTCCAGGTCTATCCTTTCTGTTCTGGCAACAGTCCTCAGATGGGCCATCCACTGTCAGCACCACCCTAATTCAGTTCAGCTGGCATTTAAGTTGACCACTAGTTTTTAACCCACAAAGAGCATCCTTACTCTCCTGTCTTGTTTTCTACCTATAGCCATTTCTAGTTACTAAGTTGTCTTTATTCATGTAAGCTTGTCTTTCTCATTCTAAAACAAAGGAAACAGTAACAGGTAATAAGTATCTCATTCCTCTCCCCACTAAAAACCAAAGAAACATAAATATAACCATATGCAAGAAAGACAAGGGGGGCAAGCTCAGGCAGAGGACCTCCAGAGCACAGGTAGCTGCCCACCCTGAGGTACCTGAAGTGCGATGGTCTGTAGCCAGCCTTCTTGGGGCCTTCAATCTGTGAACCTCACAAGAAAGTGAGACAGGCTAGAGCTGTGGTCTTCAAGCGGCACCTCATGTGCATTCTAGAGGTTAATTCAAGGTATACCATGAGTGTGCACACCTTTTGTTTTTTGGTCTTTTTGAGACAGGGTCTCACTATGCAGTTTGGGCTGGCCTTGAGCTCACTTTGTAGCCCAGGCTGGTCTTGAACTCACAAGGATCCTTCTCCTGCAGCCTCCTGTGTACTGGCATTACAGGCACACACACCTTGCCCGGTACTGCATGTGTACACTTGACACCCGTCATTTCTAGAGATGGCGATGGCCTGTGGGATCTGCAGCCAGCTGGATTTGAGTACTAGCTCCAACCATTTCGTGTGTGACTGACTGAGTGTCAAACTGCTAAGGCCTTTTTCTGATCTGTCAAGATGGGGATAATCCTGAAACATTGTGGGGTTACTGTGAGGATTAATTAAATGAGTTAATACTAGACAAAACCAGCTGGAATTGGTGGTGTGTGCCTGTAATCCCAGCACTTGTGATGCTGAAGCAAGAAGATCTCAGTGACGTTGAGGCCAGCCTGTGACGATGCATAGTCAGTTCAAGTCCAGCCTGAATCACTTGTTGGAACTCTGTCTTTAAGAAAAAAAGGGTTGGGGGCTGGGGATTTAGCTCAGCAGCATAAGCACCTGCCTTGCAAGCAGGCGGTCATGAGCTCGATCCCTGGTACCGATAAAAATGAAAAAGACAAAAAAAAAAAAAAAAAAAAAAAAAGAAAGAAAAAATCTGGCAAAAATCATAGAATCATCTCTCTTGCCTTCTTTTTTTTGGTAAGAGACAATTCAAGGGAGTTTGTATACATAGTCCATTCACTTTCTCCTCCTGGTTGTATTTTGCAAAACTATACTGTATGATAACTCAGATACTGGTGATGCTGAAATTTGTTAGCTTTGTTCAGATTGTCTCAGGTTTCCTTACACTCAGATCTGTGAGGAAGAGGATTTGCTTCTGTGGCATTTGTCACCACAGTGGGTGGGGAGATCTGCTGCCTTCTAGCACACTTATTTCCCTCTGACCATCTTTTCTTGGGAACCACTAATGTGTTCTGCATTCTAAAATTTTGCTATTGTAGGAGTCATAAGTGTGGAATTGTAGAAATGTAACTGTTTGGGATTGACTTGAGTCCCTGTATCGGCTGCCTGTATCTCTACCTCCATCTTTGCTGGTGCTGAGCAGTGTTCCATGGTGTGGTTACACCATTTAGTTTAAGCCTTACCCCTCGAGGGACACCTGGGGTGACCCACCTGCCTTAAACATACTAGAGAAGGTGATTGGATCCCTTTCGACCTATAGGAATGGCAGTCTTGAGTGGTCCAGCTTGTTGGGTCAGACACTGAGTGCGTGGCTGCTCTGAGTGGTGGTGTTTGTCCTGGGGTACGGGCATCATTTTGTGTTGCTGGGTGGACTCTGATACACATTTCCTAAGCCCTGTATGGACATGTACAATAGGAAATAGTGACGTAGATCTTTCGTACATGAGAAAGAAACCAAGAGATGAAGAGAGGGATGGAGGAGGAGAGGGGAAAGTAAAAAGTAAGATGGGTCTATTACGTGTTCCAGCTGGCCACCACGAATGCCATCATTATACTGTACTTAGAAAACTTTTTAGAAAATGAAAAAATAATGTTTTCCAGGAGAATCATAGTGCCACACTGGCCTTCTAAAGTCCTATAGTTTTCTGTTGCTGCTCTGGTTTGTTGGGAAGAGACAAGGAGAAACTCAGTGCTGAGGCTGTTTAGGTTTGATTGCCACCCGGAACCCAGGGTTTCATGGTTGTGCCAGCTTGCTCGGCCAGTGAATATATAGTGCTCCTCTGTACCAGCCTTCCATAGTCAGTCTTGGGCTTTAATAAGATCCTTGATCAGCCCAATTCATATTAAAATTGTGGTTCTACAAAAGGTTGTCATAGAAAAGTAGCTTTCTGGCTGACAGTGTGTTTGCACACCTGGAACTGAGGCCTGTCTTTGCTAATTTGGGTTCCTGTGCATTTGGGAGACTGGAAAGGTAGTGTGGAGGAGGAAGAGTTAGCACCTTGAGCAATGTCCAGTACTTTAAAATCTGCGGAGAAATGTGTTGATCTGAAAGAAATGTGTATGGGCCAATGGAAGAGATTCTGGTTTCTTTAGTAAGTTAAATCATGTGAACAAAAAGAATTCATCATTTCTTTCTATCTGTCGGTCTCTGTCTCTGTTTCTTTCTTGACAGTTTCACTGTGCAGTTCAGGTTGGCCTTAACTGACTCACTTTGTAGTGCAGGCTGGTCTCAAGCTCATAGCAGTCCTTGTGCCTCAGCCTCAAGAGTGGTGGGATTACAGGTCTGTAACCACACACCTGCTAGAATTGACCATTTTAACAGCCAGGGTGTGGTAGCACACACCTGTAATCCCAGCACTCCAGAAGCGGAGACAAGAGAATTGCCACAAATTTGAGGCCTGTCTAGGCTACATAGAAAGAGACCTTGTCTTTTAAAAATAAAACAAAAGAGACTTGCTGATCTTACATTGATCACCTTTAATTAGTAAAAATGGTCAAGAGTCAGATAGTGGTAAATGTACTTTGATGAACAATAACTTAAAACTTGGGGTTCTAGTAGGAGAGAAAAAGGAAACTCCTTGTGTGAAAACATTATTATTCCTGGCGTTTTACCCTTTCTACCTCAATAATAATTGAGTTTACCTAGGCTCTGCATAAATTTTGTGCAGATGGTTGGTATTGTACTGCTCCACTTTCTGTAAGGGACCGAAGCACCCCAGATTTTGGTATCTGCAGAGATCTGGAACCAGTCTTCCTGTGGATATGGAGGAACAGTTCTGAGTCTGTTCCTTTGAGTCCTGTTTTTTGGTCCATGGTTGTGGTGTTTGAGCAGTGTCATGTGTTCATATATTGTTTGGAGTGCAGAGGAGTAAGAGGCTTGCCTGCAGGCTCCCCCCTGGCCCCTAGATCTGCTCTGTGAGCAGCCAGGCTCAGCTGAGCTCCTCCTGGCATTTGTGCATGCTTGCTGTGCACTCTACCCTCTGTCTGCATTTTCACCCCACTTCTGAGAGTTGCAGCCATGCATCGTCTCCAAGATCATCTTTTTTCTTCAAAGTTTTGTTGGGAAGAAAACAAACTCGTGGTGGGATGCTGGTAACATGAAGTATATTTATATTGGATCTGCATGACGGTCTTGTGTCTTGGGAATGGATCCCTAGACAATGTGGAAGGGATGGCCTCCATGGGGCATGGGATAGGCAGGAACCTCAAGTGTAGCCTGAGTGGATGGGGCAAGTGCTCAGGTGGGAGGTGGTATGGAAGGTGGGGGAGATATGGGAGGCCATGAGGTGTAGAGGGTGCAACACATGGAACCTTGACAAAGTTTTCTGTGATCCCATTTGAGTCATGGATGGAAAGTGGGAGGCCCCATCTCTAGAGGACAGGCAAGCGCAAGTCATCTGACTGCTGAGGCATGTCTTCTCACCGGCCTGTGGGCCTGGTGTTCCAGGGTAGAGAGTTGAGAACAGATACATGCAACTAGCTCAAGTGCATCTTTGCAGCTTTGTGTAGTCCCACTGTGGCTGGCTGTGGAGAGAGCTGCAGCTGAGATCGGCTCTGATGGTCTGGCTTTACTCTTGTTTCAGAACACACGGCCCTGCTGGACTTGACACAGTGCTCAGCCCTGCTGACTTCCGCCATGGAATCGGTGAGTGCTGTGTTACATTCTCTCCCCAGGCGGTGGTATGACCTAGGCTCCTGACCTGAGCAGCAGGACAGTTCAGCACCTCCAGGTTGAGTTCTTGGGCTTTGTGGAGTTTCAGTCAGTGTTTGACTTTGGCCTGGCTTTCACTTAGGATTGCTCGGAGGGGCAGTAGTACAAGCTCCCTGGGGATTCGTAAGTACTAACAGGTTTCACTGTGGCAAGGAATTCAACTGAAAAATGAAATGGATCTTTAGCTTCACCTGGAAAAGAAACTTCTTTTCAGGTTTCCCCACCCCAGATTGTCTGGAGACAGTAGTTACTGTTTTTGGTGCTCTGTGCATGTTGTAGTAACTTTCCTTGAGGAGCAGCTTCGGGAAGGAAGCAGCAGGGCGTCTGGGGGCCCTGGTTTGGCTATCCTGCACTGCCTGGAGGGCCCACTGGGGCAGGGTTGTTGCTACTCAGACTGTTCCTAGAAGCTGGAGGCCAGGGGCGTGGTCTAGGGAAGGAAGGGGATCTTTGATGGCTTGCCCCATTCCAGACCTCCCCCCATGCACCTGGTAAGTTGTGTGAGAGGGAGGGCATCTGTTTCCATAGAGGCTCCAGTGGCTTGAGTCTCACCGAGGATGAAGTCCTCCCTTGGGGTATGCATTGCTTTAGTGTTTCATACCTTGCACATATGATAATCAGTGTTTTAAAGGAAACTCCAAATGTGTATGACTTTTTTTGTAGAGGGGGTCGAACTTAAGACCGCATACATACAAGGCAGGCACTTACGCCACTGAGCTAAATCCCTGGCCGCGTATGACCTATTTTGTATTCAGTTACTGTTGAGCCAGGCCACTTTGAAACTGGCTTGACTGGTCTCTTTCTTAGGACTAGAGTGTTTGCTTGGCCACAGGGGCAAAGGCATCTCTAGTGGCAGGCCTGCCGTTGTCCTTAGGGTGGGGAGCAGTTTGGGGGAAGCAGTTCAGAGGAAGCTGCCAGTGGGAAGTGTTGGTGGTAAGGTGAGGTTTGCTAAGCTTGAGGGTAAGTCTGGCTTGGTTCAGAGGCAACTGTCATGGGTCAAGGTACACTGGAGGAAGAAGAGACTGTGGCAGGGCAGCCAGCCTTCCTTACTTCTGTGGAAAGAGGGCCCTACCGAGTAATAAGGATGAGGAAAAGCAGAATGTTGCTTGTCTTTGTGTGAAAATTAGATTATTAATAAGCGTTTTGGGGAGCATTTTGGTGATAAAACTCAGGACCTTGGGCTTGGCAGATGGGCATTTATGCTGCTGAGCTGTATTCTCGGCCCACTTTTTTTTTTTTTTTTTTGGGTACTAAGAATTGAACTTATGGGGGCTGGGGATTTAGCAAAGTGGCATAAGCGCCTGCCTTGCAAGCAGGCAGTCGTGAGTTTGATCCCCGGTACCAATAAAAAGGAAAAAGACACACACACACACACACACAAAAAGAATAGAACTTTTAAAGCATTTAACGATTCAAAACACATTTTCTAAATTAGAAGCCAGGCGTGGTAGAGCGCACCTAGAGGAATACAGCTCTCGGGAGGCTGAGGCAGAAGGAGTGCCACGAGTTTGACGCAAGCCTGGGATATACAGTGAGTTCACAGTCAGCCTGCACTATACAATGAGACCCTGTCTCAAAAATACAATGAAACAAACTAGAACTAGAAGAAATCAAATCAGCACTCAGTCCTCAGAATCTGAGATTGGCCTCCTTGGTTTGTACCCTAGCTGGAGACTGAACTGGAGCTCATGGGAACTTGGAATGCATTCGGATGCAAGGAGAGTGGTCTTTCAAATACATCATGATGACAGTCTGAGGTGCTTTTTTCCATTTGTTTCTATGAACTGTAAATGTTTAGTATTGATTATGACTTTTTTGTCTATGCTATTCCCACTTAGAAAAGAAAGTCTCTTCCTGCATAGCAGGGAGGCCTCCTGGCCAAAAGTGGGAAAGTGTGTCACAGTGTGTCAGGACCTATGAGCAGCAGAAGCACGCTCCTGAGGGCTGCCCTCCATGCTCTTTCCTTAAAGTGCAGAATGTTAAAAACACACTTCTGCAGGTTCTCCAGTAACCCTTCATTCTTTTAACATGGCTTGTTCTTTTTTTATTGTTTTTATCCTGGTGACTTACAGTAGAGTTTGAGTGGTCTGGTGAGGTGCTAGGCCACAGTTCCTTACTGGGCACACTGCCGTGCACGTGCGCTGTGCCACCTGTGTTGCTGAGGTGCCCTGTGTGGTGGATGCTGGGTTTGTCCTGCCTGAGGCGTTGCCAGGGACAGGACAGCCTGCCCTCAGCTCTTCTTGCCTCTGTTTGCTCCTGGGTGCTGGTTTCTTTTACTGGAAGTGCAACTGTAAATATATCCTTAAAATAATTAGGTCTAGTGGATTTTTATAAAACCTTTATATATCTCTGGCTTAAGCTGTCCACAGGTGCATTTCTCTGTTAACATCTTTCCTCATGAGTCATGAGGAAAGTGACAAGGTCTCCAGGAAAGTGACAAGGTCACGGTGGCCCCTGGTGGTGGCACACAGTGCTGGCTCACCATGAGTATCTCCATAGTCACTGGTGCAGCAAATTCTGCCTACAAACGGAGCGGCCATCCAGGGCTGACCTGTGCTGTGTGGGAATACTAAATCACTTTTGTAACGAAAATGGGGGCGAGTATCTCTAAAACCCTTTTTCCCGTTTTCTGAAACAGAATCTTGCTGTGAAGTCCAGGCTAACCTTGCACTCAGATTCTTCCTGGCTCTGCTTCCCAGATGCTGGGATTGGAGGCCTGTATCACCACACCTGGCATCATGTTGTTGTTTAAAAGTGGTATGTCGTCATAATAAAGGCAGTGTTATTTATATGACAGGAAGTTAGGATGGATTCCCTCTTTCTCTCTTTGTTTTGGCAGTATTGGGGATTGAACTCCAGAGCCTTTGAGCAATATTCACAGCCCTTTTAATTTTTTTCTTTTTTTAATGTTTTGAGACAGGATCCCTCTGAGTTGTCCAAGCTTCTTCAAACTTAAGATCCTCTTGCCTCAGCTTCTGCTTCCCAGAGTGTTAAGATTACAGATGTGCACTAAAATGCCTAACTTCATATTTTACATTGTACATGAACATTTGAAAAACTGAGGGCTAGAGGCAGGGTATAGATTAGTGGTGGATCGTTTGTCTAGTAAGCAGGAGACACTGAGTTTGATTCTCAGCAGAACATTGCCAAAAATAAAAAGTGATCACTTCTGACTTGAAATGTTGAACTTATGGGGCATGTGAGAAAGTGAGAAATGTTGAACTTATGGGGCATGTGAGAAAGTGATGTGTGGAGGATCCTTAAATGTGATCCCTGACTCTCCTAGACTACTGGTCATGGCTATGGCTTCTGGTGTTGCTTCTCCCTTGGATAGTGGAAGACTTAGTATGATGCTGGGTTGGGTTTGCAGACTTATGAGGAATTGGAGGTCCTAATGTTAATTCTCCTCCCTTTCTTTCCTTTTTTTCTTTTTTCTTTTTTTTTTTTTTTTGTACCGGGGATCCAACCTATGACCTTGCCCTTGCCAGGCAGGCACTTAAACCACTGAGCAAAATCTCTGACCCCTCTCTTCCTTTTCTAACATAAAAAATTTTTTTGTTAGAATTTATAAATGAATAACAAAACACAATTTGGCTTATTATTAAAGAAATATGCATAACTAATTATGCCAGTATAAATTATGGGGTAGTTCTTTAGTATAATCACGTCTTGTAATTTTAGGGTTCTGAGGAATTTTCTATGATTAGGCTCCCTGAAACTACAAATAACTTAGAGAATATTACATGTCATTGGGGTTAGAGTTGTTAGCGTGAAAAGTGTTTAGCTCTCTTAAGAGCTTCCCACCCCTTGCTGTTTCTTTGTTTTTTGGTGTAGGATTTGGCGTGGGGTGCACTGGAAGTTCAGCCCAGGGGTGCTGCACCACTGAACTGCATCCCCAAGCCTGTTGTGTTGCTGTTTGTATTTTGATGCAGGATGTGCCGAGTTGCCCTGAACGACCCAACTTCTCTCCTAGGTCACAAAGGTGTCACAGTTTGCTTCCAGGTACCTCTGTCTTTTCCCAGAGTTCTACAGGGCTTTCCCTGTGCTTCTGGGAGGCACCCACGTCCTAAGGGAGCCGGTTCTGGAGATTGGCTACACCCTGTGCTGTGCTACTGCTCTTCAGCTCAAAGAGCAACCCTGGGCTCTTCTCTGTCTGAGTGCGTCCTGCCCGGTCTAGGCAGGAGCTGGCAAGCTCTGGCCTCCAGCTGTACTGTCCTCATTGGTGCTTTGCCCCTTAGATCCAAGCATTGGTATGCCTGGAGCTGTCCTGGCTGTGTCCTGCTGGTGTGTGCTAGACACAAGATGCTATCCTGTGGGTGAGTCCTTACCTTGCCAGGGTCATGGTGGCACGTTTGCCCCAAGTATCTTGGAGAGCAATGGAGTGAAGCCTGTGTCTTCCTTGCATGGGTGAGGGGAATGTTTGTGTTGTGGTTGGAATCGCTGGCATAACATGTGTGTGTTCTGCAGATCGCCACACCTGTGTTCATCTTAGAACAAAATGTGTGGAAGTGCTGCAGATGTGGTTTCATACTAGTGAAGTGGAAGATAAAAGGCATGACCAGAGTTAGGACCGTGATGGTACTCTGAACTCTGTGACATGTCTGCCCTGCCTTGGAGCCTGTGGTGGGTGAAGAGTGAAGACTGGAAGCCCCAACTGTGGGCCTCGGTGGGAGAAGGGTGCTGTAGGTAATCTTGAGAGCATTGCATCCTGGTAGCATCTTTTCTGGTACATGACTGGTGAAGCGGCTGATAAAGGACCTCTGTTAGCACTGCCTGCTTCCCTTTCTTCTCCGTGCCTAAGCATCTGTTAGGAGCCAGGGAATATTCCTTGAGCACAGGTCTGGGGAAGAAGGGTTCCTACTTTGACTCACAGGAGACTGTGGGAGCATTAAGAAGATAGGCTTGTGTGCTTCTCCCTCCCTTTGTGTGCTCAGCCTTACCTTGTGAACTTAGTGACTGGGATGTGGGGGTGGGAGGCGGGGGTGTGGTGACTTATAGAAGCCATTGTATGCTTATTTGTGGAGATCAATTTTAGATACGTGTGCTTGCAGTGGTCTGCAGGTATGATTGTTGCTAAGTTTGTTCACATGCCCACCTAGAGAAAAGAATGTATCACTTAGAAGCTAGCAGTGCAATTGGCATGGTGGTTCCATATTGGTAGTGCTTTGGAGATAAAAGTGACCCTGGCTTCCTGGTGTTTTGGTCCAGAGCTAATGGCTTTGAATACCTGTGAGAGCTGCTTTTCTTCAGATTTTGGTAAAACACAGCATGCTATAGTACAGAGGTGCTGCTGCTCAGTTTATCCAGAGTGCTGCTGGCCCGTGTCCCGGCTGGAGTCAGGTCCAGGAAGGGCAGATCTGAGGCAGCACCCCTGGGAGTGTTGGCAGCGCCTGCAAGGGCAGCTTTCCATTCCTTCATCCAACCTGCTATACTGAGAGTGTAGTACCCTCTTTTCTGAAGGATACTAGAGCAACAGAGTAACCCTTGATGGCTGTTAGTCCTCACATGCAGGGAAACTTGCACGGGGGATGCACAGTGGGGTTTCTGGGCCCTTGGGGCTGAGCATCCAGGGTTTCTGGATTTCAAGTGCTTTCAGCAAAGGCACTATATTATTTTTCTTGTCTTTTGCTTCTGGAAAGCTGGCTTTTTTCCCATTGCTGTGTCTGCTGCGATCACACAGCTACTCTCTGAGGCATTTGCTTGGGATTTAGTGCTTTGTGGAGGAGGAGAAATTCCAAACCAGGGCCTCAGTCACCCTTACTGAGTTAGTGCTGTTCCTGTACTCCTGAACCACTTGGTGTGGCACTTGTGACAGTGTCCCTGGTTCACGTGGCCCGTTGGTAGGCACTGATGTTCAAGGAGACTCCTTTTCTGTAGCATGGTTCCTGGGCTGGGTGGTGCTGGCACTTACTAGTGCCTGGCCAGCAGCCTGTCTAGTGTTTGCTCTGCGATTCTTCATAGTTTGCAGTTTTAGTCAGAAGTGTGGTGTGGCTTGGGTTTGCCACATTTCTTTGCCTTGTATCATCTTTTTGCTCTTCAACTGCCCAAGGAAGCAGCAGGGTTCCTAATAAACACTTACTGAGTCTATCAGTTTTGGGGATAAGCTACTGTTGCTTTCTAATTCTATTAGACATGTGTTCAGTCACTTTGTAGATTTCCTGGAATTTTCTATCAGAACTCAGCCTCTCTCTGTAGCTGCCTTACCTGTATGAAGAACCTTGCTGTCCTCAAGTAGTGGGGTTCTCCAGGAAGTATGGCCAGCAGCTGTGTGTGTAGGGACCTGTGGGTCATGAAGGCCTCTTTGCATTCTAGTGGCCTGCCTTAGACCAGCAGCGGGTACACCCTGTCTGCCTGCCCGCCCACCCACCCATCTCTTGCCCCTCTCTACCCCCTCCTGACAGTAGATTTGAACCTAGGGGCCCTGTACTACTACTGAGCTACATTATGGGTTCCTTTTATTTATTTATTTATTTTTTATTTTGAGGCATGGTCTTGCTAAATTGTTCAGGCTGGAATCTAATTTGCAGTTTTCCTGCCTCAACCTCCCTAGGTGCTGGGATGACTGGTGCATAGCACACCATCCCTGGCTCCACTCTGTTTTAAAATCCCTTTGCAAATGATCTGAGTTGGCATGCACCAGATGTTTTTATCAGTATTCTTAAAGTGGAAGAGGTGTGGGGTCTCATCAAAAGACACCTCTTTGAATCATTTTGCCTAGGAAGTTCAGGTATGTTACATGTTGTGTGGTGTGTGGATT